AAAGAGGCTTCCTGTTGGATACAGCCAAAGCTTTAGAGTAACACAACATTAACAAGGCCCAGAGCCACATCTACTTACCAGCCTGAAATATACCTTCCAGATTTTAAACAAGCACTGATTTTCTGCTCCTGAAATCTACGTTATTGCCCGTTCCCCAAAAAATAGTTAAATGTTACTGGCACAAAGGCATCCCAACAAACGCTTTCAATCAATTCACGCTCTCTGGGGTTGATTAGAAAGAGAGAATTGTGCTTCAAGAGACGACATCAAGGTCTCAACATCTGTTTCCATTCCATATTAGGAATGAAACCACCTCCGAGAATTATTGGGGAGAAGTGGGTGGGGGTGTGGAACAAAGGAAAAAGTCACCAGGATGGATACGTCCTCAGTAGCAAAGCCAGCAAGCAGGAGAAAGGCTCAGGCTCAATTTTTTTGTTCCAGATTGGGCCTTTAGCACCTACCCTGGCTGTGTTCTTCCCACCTCTGCAATATTCCAACTGAATATTTTCCACTTCACATTCACAGTCAAACGTTCTTGGGAAAAAAAATTTCCATAAGACGACTAGCTTTCAACAAATCAGTATGAAAATAAAGTCTCAAAATATTATGAATCTAGTCATATGTTAATCCAGTGGGCACCCAGAGTGGCAGAAGGATCTCACAGACAAATGAGATTACTTTACTGTGGGGCGAAGAGGGTTAAGTTTCTTCTTTTGGACCAGAATTCAAATGAATCATAGCTAAGAAACAGTGTGCTGCAGATGTGTGGCGTATGTCTAATCCAAGCTAACTGCGATTAGCTTTTCAGCAGATTAGCAAACTGATCACACTCACAGTTGCATGACTGCAGATCCTCACGGAGGGAGGCAGCAGGAACCAGAGGCTGGGGCGGGGAGCGTGGTAACTGCTCTTTCAGGAGCGGTCCACGGTCGCATCAGGGCACCTTGGCAGTCATGTACACGGCTCTAAGATGGCACAGATGACCTGCCTGTGTGTTGGTTTTCTGCCTTACTCCTGACCGCTAACCAGTGGTTCCTGGTGCTGCTCAGTAAAAAAGGGCTGCAGAACATGGAAATACACCAGGGAAGAAAATCCCATCTGGTCCCATGGTAACTCTTGACCAGGCTGTCAGGGTAGTGTCACTGCTACTGTCACCTCAGCTAATTCTGCAATCAGATTTGCTCACTTCAGACGGCTTTGTTTCAAGGAAGACAGTAGCTCTCCAGGTGATGCATTTCTAAAAACCAGTATCTGCTTCTCCAACCTCAATCTGGTACCAGAGCCGGACTGATACGCAATTTTTCATCCCATGTCCCTGCTCTGCAAATGGACTATCGCCCTGTATCTGCAAATACATCACCAAATCTCAGTGAGTGTGGAGAGTTATTCCTGCAACCTCAAGAATTCAAACTGCTTTCCTGAATGTTTAAATCCTCCTGAAGCTCATTCAGCCCCTTAGAAAGATTTGTATCTACTTTAGTCACGGGAATTTTTCAAAGCCCTTACTATGTGACGCAGCTATCTGTAATAGACTCTTCCAGATCTCTATATATATCCAACGCTCTTCTAGGAAGGATTTTGAAGATCACTTTTGGCATCAGGCCTCCCTGTCCCCCTCTCCTCTGCTGCAAGGGGAATGAGCTGAAGGCAGTACTGAGCTGTGCAGAGGTGCTGCTCTGAGTTGACTTGGTTCCTGGAAGATGGACAAACCTCAAAGTCCCCTCTGGCAGCTTCACTTGTCTGGCACTTAAACAGGCCCCTTCAATTCCCCCCCATTTCAGCGGCCAGCAGGAAAGTCCTCCCGCCTGCCTGCATTAATCCCAGCACCTCACAGGGAAAAAGCAACCCTGGCTCCGCTGCCAGCGCAGGAGGAAGGGAGAAAGCACCAGGAAAGGGAGAGCACATCTGGAATCAATTGGAGAGCGCTGAATGCCTCGGAAAGAACTGCAGAGCTGGCAGAAACCATAGCGAGGAGCCACGCGTTCAGACGTGACTATGGAGCAAAGGTGGGGGACAAGACGCATACAGCATACTTAAAACACAAAACCAGAGCTCCTCTTGGGGCTCTTTTTTTTAATGCAAGCAGCTAAACGTCTCAGTCCTGTCATATTTTCACTGCCACTGGCCTATCATGGGTACGGTCAGAATTCAGTACAGAAGATAGGGGATGAGATGCACACAGCCCCAGCTGAGGCAAACGGGATTTACCTGTGACTCGAGTACCAGAGCTCAGTAACACAGCAGCAATATTATATCCAGCAATATTATCTCTCAGGGTGTGGGGTGGAAGAAATCTGTGACTGTATTGGCATAGGCTTGAGAACAGAAATTTGACGGTTTAAAAACGCAGATTTCTTCCCACAGTTACTTTCCATTCCAGCAATGCATTCTCCAATCTCCTGCTACTCATTTGTTCCAAGAGTTTTCCATTTCCATGGAAGCCTCCACTACGTGTCCTGGAAAGCAGAGGTTCTGGAAAGGAGTAGAGGGCTGTGGAGACGCAACTCACCAGTGCAGCAGTCTGGTACAAAGACTGACTATTCGGATGTATTATCAACAACTAGGATGCGGGAAGCATTGCTACCTTGGTATGTGGCCTTGGCCAGATGAAAAATAAGACACGTGCTTCCACATACGAATTGTAAAAAGGGAATTAAAAAACTCAAAAGGAAACACGAAAGAGCTGTAAAAATGACCACGAGATTGGAAAAGGCCACAGGGCTACACACTGAAAAACTTGAAAAGCCCAGTCTATTTCACTTAAAATTTAAAAAGAAAAAATTAAGTGGCAACTGATTATTCTGTGAAAGTATATTAATGGTAAGGAAAAAAAAAGTAGGCACTAATAATATTTAATCTAATGAACAAAGGCATCAAGAAAACCAATAGCCAGAAGCTGAGTCTGATAAATTCAGCTCTGGTAAAAGACACCATTTTATTTTGTTTACTGATTTCTAAATGACACTCATTAAATCAGTTGGTAAGGAGGACTCAAGTCCTTTCCATTTCTTTATGCCTTCGTCCTGAAAACATTATGTCATTCAAAACAGAGGTACCCAAGTGAGATGTAATGGCCTACAACACACATACGGCCAGAATAGATGCTCTAAAGCCAGATCTATAGGGCAATATTCTGGAAAGCTAAGAAGAGCTGGTGAAAGTCGATGCACATAAATTAAAGCAGATTAAACTAAGCAGCAGATACATTTATAAGTAAAATTACTTCACCTTATGGAGAGGAACAAGCTATTGAGAAGTATAGGTGCAGTTTCATGTACCACCTAATATGATAAACTACCAACTGGCCTCAGAAGCAGTGGCTCTGCTTCCCTTCCCCGGCTGTCAGGAGATCTAGTCATGCCATGGCCATAGCCAGAGAATTAATCCAAACAATAGTCATTTGTTTGGTCATAAACTGAACTGTCTGGCTTTATATCTGCCTAAGCACGATGCCCAACACAGTGAGGAGGCTGAACATATGGCCGGGGCAGAGAGACCAGGGGGACTACTCTTCTCACAGCAACCCATAGTTATGCTACATTAAGCGCAACTTGAAAAATGCACCTGAAAGCCACTTCATCCCAGAACAAGAGGTTAGCATATGTTATTGCCACTACCTGCTTCGCTCGTGCTTAACTTTCAGAGGGTCCCCACGTAAGCCAGCATAAAGCTAGTTTATACACAGTGAACTTGTCAAGTATCTCGGGAAAGGTTTCCCCTTTGTTACAAAATCCTTTTAAAGCTTCTTTCCCCCAGGCCTTCCAGCTAACGTATGTTTACCAAATTCCAGCTGTAACCATGAACAAGCATAGACTTCTCCCCTACACAGGCCACCTGCACGGCTCAAAGGTGAAGTTCAAGGTCAGCAGCACATTTGCCCAGCTTGCAGATGGCTCCTCCTGGGCTGGGTATCATTATCGTAGCTCCTGCAGCCCCTGTGCTCCGCAGCATCTTTGGAAGCACACTGCTCTCCCTTGTCACCCCTGCATCAATGCCTTGGTCGCATAAAACATGGGTGGGTTTAACAGCAGCAATATACCAAATAGTCACATTAAACTATTGCATTAAAAGTTGGACTTCCAGTAATAACTGCTCTATTTTACTGAAGCTAAATCGATAAACCTTAAAAGCTAAATTGATATAAGAGCATCTCATTTTGGTGGCATGCCTGTCAGCATCTGCAGCTCCATTAATATGTTATTGCATGAGCTCCAGAGAAATTTACCCCTCCATAATTCCCAGCAGATCTCTACCTTCCACAGCCAAGTGCATTAAAGGTCCTTTTTTTCCCCCTTCCTTGCTCTGTTTCTCTGCTCACACCTACAGAAAGACAAGAAAACAGGCTACGCAAAACTTAAACCCTTTCAGCCAGTCGGTCTCCCCTTCTGTACATCCCCTCTCACGCACACAGTGTCAGGCTAAACAAAGCCACTCGCTCCAGGATACAGGCCTGGAAAAAAAGCATTAGCATCTGGCAACCAAGAGCAGCACCCCAGCATACAAGCCTGAGAGCAAACACAAGTCTCTGGCACGAAGAGGAAACACCAAGATGTACGCCTGACTGCTCCTGTCAATCTTTCAGTGGGGGAATGCCCGATTTTTTTTTTTTAAATATATTTTTATCATATTACTGAAAGGAAATGCCAGGGACTGCTGCAGCCCCTGTCCCTTGAGGCTCTGCTGCTGCCATCAGGCTGTGCTGCCTTTGCAGCGATGAATATTTAAACAGGGCAATAAATATTTCAGAGCACATTCATCCCGATGAGAAGTCTACTAGCATAAGAGAGATGAGACAACCATGCAGGGCCGGGGCCGCTCTCTGTTCTGCCCCTCCAGCTCCCGCACCGCCTGAAAGCCCTCTTGCCCTCCAGCCCTCAACAGGCACCCGAGAGCCTCAAATATTCATGAGCACGGCTCCGGTTACTTTCCAAACAAGCAAAAACACCGTGGAAAAAGTAAAAAGGTGTTCTGCTTTCCAGAGAGGTGCGGAACACAGCTACCGCATGCTTCTCTTTCACCTCTTCTGGGGCTTCTGGCTTTTGGGTGTAGTGCTCACACTCGGGGAGAAAATAATTTGCAGTAAGACCCCACAGGGCCTTAAGTCTTTTAATATTGCACCTTGGAAGAACAAAAAAAAGACTGTCAAACCCAAAAAGTTTGACCAGTGCCTAGTTGAGTAAGAAAGCATGAAAGCCTGTCTCTTTCCCCCACAACTCCCTCCCTTAATTTCAGCGGTGCATTTCTTGGTTGCTAGCAGCTCTGCTGGGCTCTCTGTGGGATGCTAACAGATGTACACAGTTTGGCCAGCACTCGCACGAATAAAATCAGCTAGAAAACAGGTTTAGGACATAACAGAAAATGCATTCATTTACTCAGCTGTCATCTGCCTGTCATTCATGTACCGGGGGTTATTTTGACTTTCATAGTGCTAAAAGCTTGGGTTTTCAACTAGGAGCTTAGCTATGCTCTCACCTATAAAGAAACTTTTTTCTTTTTTTTAAAGACAATCTCAGGGGGTAATTAAAATTTCGTAGTAAATTTTGAAGGAAATCAAAATCACATACAAGACAGTTGTACAGGATCCACTTTATAGGGCCATGAAACCCACAGCCATGCTCAGAACTGGACTTTCATACCAGCTCCCACTGTGTATCTCACTAGACTCGAAAGACATAAGACAGTTGCTGGTCACACAATATATGGAGAAGCCTTCAGAAAACAGTTAAGCCTACTCTGAGTGAAGGGAAGCCAAAAAGAGACCCTCACAAAGAGCAGTCAGCAGCCAAAGGGTTATCCCAAGTGACAGGCACAAGCCAGCCTGCCCCGGCTAACTGAGCTGCACCAGGGCATCTTCTTTCCAGGTAAAGGCTGTAATTAATAAATAGTAAGGCATCTCTGCCTTTCCTGGTGCACATGCTTGAAAAGATGATGGTAACTAAACTGCAATCTCAATGTGTCATACACTCTCAAAGATGCCTCTCGGACGGTGCAAGGAGAAGATGCTCCTCGTACCTGGATCCCGGCCCAGCTTAAGGTACAAGCCGGGCACCAAATGGTTCAGCCCTGTCACGGCTTGGGCACAGCAGGGTGTGTGCAAGGGCATGTGACAACTCAGCAAGGTCTGCAGATGCACAATCTTGGATTAAACTGCTAAATTCCCCTGCAGACTCATTTCAGCTGTTTTTAGACCTTTGAAGGGGAACAGCCAGGTCTTCGCTATGCACAGAAAGGGTCCTGAAGCACATCAAGAGCGAGCTTCCTACCACAAGCCAGAGCTCCTGCTATTTCATCCATGGTCCTCATGGTCAAAGGAAGAGACCAAGAGAGCATCCGAGTGCTGCACAGCCTGCTTGGAATGGTCGGTTTCCTTTTAGTGAAATTCCCTCTCATACTCTTGCTCTACGGCACAAATTGGCTCCACAGTGAAGTACTGAACTGTCAAACAGCAAAATCTCTTTCCAGATAGCATTTCAAGGAAGAGCAGCTGCCTACTGAATAGGTGGATCAATAACCTGCCACTGCCCTCCGTCCCTTCTGACCAAAGGCTCCTGGAAAAGCAGCAGCATCCATCCCTCCTTCAAGACTGGCCATCAGCCACGCCACCAAAAAGAGGCTGTTTACATTAAAAATATAAAATAGCAATCACAGCAGTGTAGTTCAGAGAGCGACAACAATCCCGCTGCTTTGCCAGCGGCAAGTCTTGGGATTTTACATCTCTGATCCTAATCACCACCCCAACTGTCCTTCATTTATCACTAAAACTAAAGGATTCAGTCAGAAGTCAGACCTAACCTGGCACAAAAAACACCTTGCACTTTCCTATCCTATTAACAGACCTCATACACAGAGGAAGCAAAATATCCTGGAAGATGAGCTCACCAAGTAATTTAGAGCAGAAGCCACCATTTTGCAGCAGACATCAAAATAATGAGTACCCCTCTGCTGACTGTGCAGCTCCGTGTTATTCCCATGATGGGCCACATAGCCAGCAGCACGCTAACATGGAAAAAAACGGCATCTGATCCCAGTCAAGAATGAAAAGAAAATGTTTGTGACAATACAAAAAGTGTTAGGAAAGAAAACAACATTTAATCCTGTGGCTCCTGAGGACCTCTCATGACTCAGAAAATAAATGCAAACAGATGAAAAAGTTAATTTGGATCATATCAGCCTCACTGGCACGCAAAGGGCACAGCAGGCACCCTGGGGACAGGGAGGGAAAGATTTGCCTTAGATCAGGTTACTATCACTGCCAGCTGACCTAAAACACCACAAGATTTCAGCAGACTCTGCCAGTTCTTCTAATTTTCAAAGGTGCAATCACCTCCTTTAAGAGATGAGATGTGTGAAACACGTAACACTAACTGAGGTCAGGGAGGAAGGAGATCCTGCAGCACAAGTACGTAAGTGGCCACGATGATAATCCTCATTGCTTTGGAACGAGCACGATTAACTGAAAACAAGAAGAAAGCAGAAGTTAATTGTTCCTTTGAAGATGTAAAAGTTTCGATCCGAAGCAATGAGGACATAAGGAACCGGACTAGTTTCTTATCAGTCTGAAGCTAGTGCATGGAACAGACAGTTGCTCTGTCCTACAAACATGGTCTTTCAAAACAGATGTCCCTCTGCAACCCAACACACACTTGGCTTGGGAAGATGGAGACGCAGCTTGCCGGATGGGCTCTACGCAGTCATCCCCCAGATGGACCAGCACAGCCCACAGACATACTTCATCACTGTCAAACCTGCGAAATGTTCTTCAGCACAAGCCCTCGGCACTTGGCTTTAACTTCATCTTGTTTGAAGGGATCTGAACTGCCCCGCTGCGCTGGAAGCAAAGGGTAGGCAACACGGAGAACCTACAGGACCAGCCCAGGTGCCAAATGTAAGAACAAATCAGTGCTCTGTAACCTGTTTTTCTGTTCTGGGCAATCCTTTCCAACTTCATGCATCCAGGCTGGTAAAACTCATCACAAACTAAGCATTGCTTGTGTCCTATTAAATTTTTCGGAAGAGTTAATGTTTAAAAGTGGTCAATGACAGCATGAGGAGTAGCCCACAGCAGCCAACGTATTAATTGTTACCTGAAGTCCCTTTGCTTTGATAGGTCTTCAGAATGCACTAGAAGATTCACAGGAAGACCGATACATATGAAAAGTTTCCTTTAAATCATTTAAGAATAAAACTGCTCTTATAGGTTTCCCTCGCATGTCCAGGATGTAAAGTCTTTCCAGAATCCCAGAATTTTGCACCACAGGGTACAAGGGATCACCTGCATTTTTATAGCTGCGGTCAACCTTTGTTGATCAGAGAGGGAATGGTTTGAGCAACTGCTTCTAGCTTTATGCCCCGCTTCTGCTGGTATTACCAACATCACACCTAATTAACAGACTCATCTCCACGCACTTCAGCGAGAGCGGGCATTAACGTACCCAACCTCACACCGGTGCAGATGAGCAACTCCCACAGGCACAGTAACCCCCTGGAGAAATTTGGGATGGACACAGGTGAGGGCAATTCCCAAACCGTTTCACAGCTGGATTGGCTGCAGGAGGCCTGGCCCCACGCTCACACCCTTCTGCTAGGATTGCCAGGAGAGTGGCCATGAGGCTCATCACAGCTTTGCATTTAAATCGTGTCAAACAAACATGGTTCTTTCCTGCCACCAGCTTCTTTTCTCCTAGATTTAGGCCAGATAGTATCTCAGAATAATCGTATGGTGACACACAGACCCTCGCAGCTAACCTAGAGGCCTACTACACTTTTGAAACCCACTACAGTCCTCTATAAACCCTCGAGGAGAATGAAATTTATCTTCCTTTATGCTCCTCCAAAATATTAAGAAATTCCTATTACTCAGCTCTAGCTATTCTTCTTCTCTGCATTACAAATAACATAGCTCAGAGTTTCCTACCCACCCAGTACAAAAAAAAAAAAAACCCAAACCACCACTTTGGCTTTCTGGATACTTCTGCTTTAAGCAGAGGTCTGGCTGGGAGATGCGTTCTTGGCCACGTGGCTGAGCTGCCGGGCAGGACCCCAGCCACGCATCACGCAGGGAGGCTCGGAGCTGGCAGGCACGGACCCCAACGGAGAAGCTCAAGTCTGCAGCCCCTGGTGCAGCTTTCTCCTGACTTCTGTGCCACGCTTGCAATAATTCCTGCAGCTCATTGTCAAAACCAATTATGAGTATTCCTAACATCACCAAGAAAAAAAAAAAAGTCCTGAGAAATAACACTTGAGCTGGAAGGGACAGTAATGTCATTGCCTCTCTTACCTCCTCACAGCAGGGCTTGTTTCAGGAGGATCTTCATTTTCTCTGTGGTCAAAATTGCCACTGGGCTGCTCAAAGCTAGTTTCAGACTCGATGGAAAGCATGGCTCAGGGATCTTTAATCTGATTTAGCCCGATTTATTTGGATTCATCTCACTGAAGACGACAAGACATTTAGAAGTCTTGCTTTCTGATGCAGCATCGAGACCTCCACAGTGTTTTTTCTAACTTTCTGAAGTCCATGTTACCAGATAAATTCATTCTCACACCCCTTGCAGTATTTTGACCAAAAGAAGCTTTGAAGATCTAGTCTCTCAAAAGATTTCTCTTAGGATGAAGGTTTACAACCAGCTTTGGATGACCTAAATTCTTTCTGCCACCAAGAGGGTCAGACCCTCCTTGACTACACCTCTTCGTCAGTCACACTGAGCATATGCTCGTTCGCAGTCTGTCACCCATGACCCTGTGAAGGACACCTGGAGCAGGGAACTGTCCCAAGCTCTCACCACAGCCTCCAGTCATCGCCTTCCTCGTTTCTCATCACACTACATTCTTTACCAGAGATTAGTTCCATCACATAGTCTAAAGTGACCCCCAAAAAACATCAACACCACCCCCACAAACCAAACCAAATTTATATAAAAGGGACTCCTAGACCCCTTCCCACCGCTTCGAGACAGAAGAGGGTTTCATGCCCGAACAGGGTGGAGGCAGACCACAGAATGGTTTTGCAAAGCAAATGTAGCAACATTGAACGGCTTCATCACACACACAAAGAAAAGCAAGGGGAAAAGTTAAAGCAAACAAACGCACGTTAAATATTTGAACACTAGGTAAAGCTAATGTATCACAATACGTTACAGTCCAACCAGTCGATTAATTCACTAATTTCACCAAATTACCAAGCTCTTCCTCCTCCACCTCCTGATTCAGGCTGGAAGGATCCTTCCTAAGATAACAGAGATCTAAAACTCTGCCTGGTGAAACTCTGAAATCCTTCCCCCTGCTGCCCTATTTATCTCAACCACATTTTACAAAGCAGGAAGGGACACACGCTGGAAAACAAAAGCCTTTCTTACTCCTGCTCCCTAATATTCCTAAGTACTTTGCATAATTGTTCAGTTTTGATAACCTCCTTTCATATGCTGCAACAGCAAAAAAAAAAACCTACAAAGAACAACAAATCAAATTAAGGCTTTCAATCTTCATGGAGCGTACGTGAGACAAAGGAGGACTAGTACTATCCAAGAAATCCAAACTCCTCTCCAAGGCATTTTTAAATCAGTCTTTTAAAGTAATTTAAAGCAGGTTTTGCTACTAGGACTGGAGGGAGAGCATAGGCTTCAGATAAGGAGCTTCAGAGAGACCCTATAGGTGATATGCACTGCATAGGTCAAACTCTGATTATCTAAATCTTGGTTAATCAAAAGCAATTATCTGAAAGTCAAATATGCCCTCCAAGTCAGATAGCTCGGCGAGACCAGGACTTATAAAGCACACAGAAATCCTAAACTCCACAGGACCACAACTGCAGAGACTATGAATTTTAAGCAGGATAACCAGGAGGACAGTTCAGAGGGTTTTAACCGTGCTCAAGACTCCCAGCCCGAGGGCAGTCTTCAGAAGCAGATAGCAGATTACCCCCACAATTACTCGGACATTTTTGGTGTCTCCATGCACCCTCAGATTACAGGCTACTTGCAGTGCAATTTCAGTTAGGTATTTACAGACTACTCAGGGTGAAAGTCTCCATTACATGCAGCGCTGGTAGAGCCAGGCTGGCTGATACTGCCCATTGCAAGACCCCGTTTTCAGTTGTTTACAATTCTGAGAAACCACTCGAACTGACATTTTTTTCATGTTATCTGCATTTGATTTGGGGCTTGGAAATTTTGTTTTGTTACTTCAGCTGTATCAATCCAACCTGAGAAAAAAGTAGGGGGAATATTTTGTCTTATGATTTGGGGGGGGGTGGGGGGGTGGGAATGGGGACCCAAACCCACACCACGCATTTTGAAAAGCCTACGAGGACTTCATATTTAACAGAAAAATTTGCGTTTCAGGAATCTGTATTTAGCAGATGGATGGCAGAGATGAGACAGGAGAGGTCATGCAGAGATAGAAGAGAGGGGAAAAAGTGCCTACTAGTGTGCACTCCCCAAAAGCCACCAAAATCTGACCAACATTATAACAAAACTAGAGAACACTACAGTGCCTGTCTTACATTTTATCAACTAAATCTGCTAGTAAAGCCATATATCATGGTCCAAAAAAGGCTAAAAACAAGGAAAAAAATTCCAGTATGCAAAACCTGCTGAAAAGAACCAATCCGTTCTTCATATTTATCATGGAAAACAAACGGTGGCAACAAGCTTTATGTTAAATATTAGGAAAGACTTAGCAGTGCTCAGAAAGGAAAGGACTTGGATTTTTTCAGGCTGGCAGTGGCATTGCAAATGTTTTTAGGGTAGTTTACTCGTCATCAGGAATGGTTTAGACATAGTTCATTCTAACAGGAAAGACACGCTCTTGAAGGTGGCTGGCAGTGCCACTTGCACCCCATTTTCTGTGATTTCATGCTCTCATTCAGGGCTCATCCACAGCTTCACAGGAGATACCGGCCATGTCAGATCCAGGTCTGGAGACCAATGACAGCAGGGAGACGGCCCATCTCCCGTACTTTGCGCCGTCCCCTTTGGAGGGATCAAGTAACATGGAGTAGCAGTTACCCACCTCAAATCCAAAAAACCCAAGAAATAGATCTGGAAGTGTAGCGGGAGGAAAGTCAATTGGGACAAGAAGTCTGAGTGCCAACAGGACAGACCTAGCGATGGCAGGGGAAAAGGGATAGATCAGACAAGTCTGACTGCAATAGGAGCAGAAAAGGCAAACTAAATGAGGAATGAAAGGAGTGGGTGGAGAAGTTAAAAAAGCATATGACAAGGAGACTGTAGTGAGGACAGGGAGGTGGAGGAGAAGCAGAGAAAGAATAAGCAGGCCTAAAAATCAGCTGAGAAAGAATTGAAACGATCAAGGTAAGTCGTGTGCTGAAACAGGATGACATGTAACTGGAGAGGAATGGAGCCAGGGACAGCACAGACATGGACCTGCATGGGACAAGCTACTGACCAAGGATCATGAGGAGAGAGTGAGAGGAAGAAGATCCATCCACCCATCCATGATGGATGGCAGAGGTGAGACAGGAGAGGTCATGCAGGGATGAAAGAGAGGGGAGAAAGTGCCTACTAGTGTACACTGCCAAACCCTAAACCAGAGCCTAATATTGCGAAAAGTCACCATTCCCCCTGCTGTCAGCAAATTTACAAAACCAACTGGCAAACATAGATCAAGCTGGCCTGCACAGAAAATGACAGCTAATTACACATTCAGTGTAAGTGGCAGAGGTCTGTGGGATGCATTTGGGATGGTCAACCCTGCTACTGATACTTGCAGAGGTCATTGTGGTGCCACATATACTGGAGCTGATGGGGACGGGTGGAGGGTTGTCTAGTTCTTCTTTCCTTTCTTGTGGAAAAAAATAGCATGCAATCATGTGATTAAAGACTATCATAAATAGGCACAGAAATAAAGAGAACAAATGAAGGTTTCTTTCCCAACTTAAAATATGGAAATGCCCCGGAATTAAAGTGCCTTCCCATTACCACCTTGAGAACTCTCAATTCAGTTTGTGAATAATATTGCTCAACGGACAGTTTTGCAAAGAAAAAAAAAATCAGATCTTTTAAACAAAGCACACTGTAGAACAGGCCCAGTATTTGTCCTATTTTCCTTTATATAGGCAAAGCGCACTATTTTTTCAAAAAGCTTTCAGTTGAGCATTAATTGCTCTAGCTTTTGTGAACCCTACAAAACAAGCCTATACATCTCCAGCCCTCACTGGTCATAGCACAACCTCCAGGAGCACCCACCCTGCACAGCACAGGATCACAACTAACTCTACAGGAGCGCATCAAAATACTTTTGGTAGGAAAGTTAACATTTCTCTACTTTGATTCCAGGGAACATGTCAGATAGGATGTAGTCTGGTATTCTTCCTTTTAAATAATATTTGAGAGCAGACTGAGGCAAATTAACCACCTCCTCCCTGCCACTTAGACCTCCAAGGGATGCCTGTTAGTGAATTCTGTGACTCTGCAGCTGGGAGACAATTAGCTTAAGGAACTCATTGCAAAGGGCAGCTAACTGCACACATCAGCTGCTGAAAATGTATCTACAACAGGAACATTAAGTATTCTACCTGAAGCAACTACTCAGACCAGAATCCAGCTCTAAAAAACATCAGCCCCCTGCCCACATTGCAGCCCCCTTTCGTACCAGCGTTAGAATTTTATAGTAGAAGGCTGGTCAATACTAATTAAGTGCAACTGAGCCATCATGAATTAATAACCTGCAGGGAAAGTCGTTGCTGGTTTTAAGGGCTTCCCTCCTTCTCAACCTTCAACTTTTAGTATTTTTTGGTAGCTCGCTACAACCTTTTCACTAATCCAGATACTTCACAAATTAATACTTCTTAAAATAACAATAAGACAGTATGTCAATTTTACACAGCCTTGTCATCTGACTATTACAGCGTGTACCGTGGCAAACTTGGGCATCCTCATTTCTCAATTCCCAGGTACCCGGGGATAGTTACCTAGTCACCTGCAGAAGAAATGCATTAGGGAGCAGCGAGGTTATTTCTAGGACGAGGACTTAAGGAAATGGCACTGCTGTATCAAGTTCCCTTTTACATCGCCATCCTGCCTAGGCAACACTGAATGCAGCTTCTGCCATCCCAAGGCTGCTCTGCAAGCGCCTACAGCAGTCCGCTTCTACTGCAACGCATCTGAAAGTGCTCAGCAAAAGTGGTAAAGAGAAAAGGATTTTAAAAAAACAAAAACAAAAAACACACACTCACCGGGTTCTGACAGGCCCTATTGATTTTTAAGCCCTTAAGAATAAGCCCTTCTCAACCAGCAGTTAAAGCTCTAAGTATCACAACAGTTACAAGACACAACCCACAGGCCCAACTCAACCAACTGTGTCCTTACATCAGGGAAAGCGAGCTGCAGATCCACCTTTCAATTCCCGGGGAGATTCTCCTG